GCAATACGCTCGGCAGTGGCCAATGGGAAGACGTAGCAATCACCACAACAACCATTCTCATGGAAATGAAGTTGTCAATGAGGGTGTTCCCACCTCCTTCCCCGCCCCCTGCAGCGGAGAGTTTATCTCTAGATTGACCCTGTGAGGATGGATTTATATAAATGTTTAATATCAGCTTACTTTAACAAAGCATGCCGAAATATTTTTTACAAACATAGCTAGCTAACTCTACTCGCGTTGATATGAACTGAAAGGCAAAAACCTTTAGACATTAAGTGTATATACCCCAGCCTGTCACTGGATAAAACTTTCTTTTTTAAAAAAGGACAGGCGTGGCGGCTCACATCTGTAATCCCAACATTTTGCAATGCCAGTAACATTTTGGGATGCCTACTGGAGTGGGCAACATAGCAAGACCCATCTCTACAATAATTTCTTTAAAAAAATAGCCGGGTGTGGTGGCGCGCGGCTGTAGTTCCAGCTACCACGGAGCGTGAGGTGGAAGGATCGCTTGAGTCCAAGAGGTGGAAGTTACAGTGAGCGAGACTGCCTCAGAAAAAAAGAAAACACGAGCATTAGAACAAATACCTAATGCATGCGGGCGTAAAACCTAGATGACAGGTTGATAGGTGCAGCAAACCACCATGGCACATGTATACCTATGTAACAAACCTGCACGTTCTGCACATATATCCCAGAATTTAAAGTAAACTAAAAGAAAAAAAAAGATTGAAATGTAGCCGAGAGCTGATTATTATCAACATATAATATCTTGATCGAGAGCCATAAATACACAAAACACTCAGTGATAGTCAAATACTTTCACTTCAACCCTGAAATACAGGTTGTAGGAATCTGTACAACTGCCCAAGGTAACAAGAGCTAAGTCTCACAGCTGTGAAAGCCACCTCATGCCTTTTGCCTTCCTAAGTTATCAAGTCAAATGGGGAGGGGTGATATAAGATTTTAACTATTACGCACCAGTTGTGTAAAGTGCTTTGAGACGTACAAAGGAGCATTGATTTTGGAAGTTCATATACATATGATTTGAACCTCAGATTGACCTGCTTTCTTAATTGACAAGTTAAACTTTTTTAAGCTTCAGGTTTCCCATAGTAAAATCTGAATGATACTACTACTTACCTCTACAGAATTATTCTGAAGAACAAATAAAATTAAACGTCTATCCTTTAAGTGTTAATGCTCCTAAAAATTCCTTCCTAAACTTCATCCCTGGGAGATCTCATCCATTTCCAAGTCTATCATTACATGTGCTGCTCACTCCCACTTTGTCTCCAGGCCAGATGGCTCTCCAGAGTTCCAGACTGGAATATCCAACATCTAGCTAGAACAATCACACCTGAATGTTTCAATAGCTGCTGTGTATCAGTATGTTCAAGTCTAAATGTATGATCTTCCTCTTCACATGCCCCTTCCTTCCCATACCAAATTTGCCACATTTGCAATTCTACATGTCAGTGAATGGCACCACCATCCACTAGGCTGATTTCCTGTACTTTTCTTTTTCTTTTTTTTTTTTTTGTAGAGATGGGGTCTTGCTTTGTTGCCCAGGCTGGAGCGCATTGGCATGGTCTCGGCTCACTGCAACCTCAACCTCCTGAGTAGTTGGGATTACAGGTGTGCACCACCACACCTGGTTAATTTTTGTATTTTCGGTAGAGATGGTGGGACCATGTTGGCCATACTGGTCTCGAACTCCTGACCTGAAATAATCTGCCTGCCTTGGCCTCCCAAAGTGCTGTGATTACAGGTGTGAGCCACTGCACCAGGCCTTTTCTGTCATTAAACCTAAAACCAAATAGTACTGCTTAGTCCACCTACTAAAGAGCTCTGTGTACATCTTTTTACCTCCATTAGTTTAGGCCATCATCTGATTACTTCTAACAGGCAGTCCTGTTGCCAGTTTGGCCTCCTATCAATGCATTTCCCAGTACATTTAAAATGAGTTGGGCTGGGCGCGGTGGCTCCCACCTGTAATCCTAGCACTTTGGGAGGCCGAGGTCATGGGATTGATTGAGCCCAGGCGTTCAAGACCAGCCCGGGCAACAGAGACCCTGCCTCAAAAAGAAAAAAAAAAAATTTGTTCACTTGTTCATTATTGAGTGTCTGTTATTTGCCAGGCACTGTTGTAGGTGCTGGAAATTCAGCAGTAAAAAATGGACAAAAATTCACCAGCCTGGACAATATGGTGAGATCCCCAGCTCTACAAAAAACATTTTTAAAGAAATATTGGCCAGGTGTGACGGCACATGCCTATAGTCTTAGCTCTGTGGGAGACTGAAGTAAGAGGATTATTGGAGCCCAGGAGTTCAAGGCTGCAATGAGCTATGATCATGCCACTGCACTCCATCCTGGGTAACAGATAGAGACCCTATCTCAAAAAAAGACAAAAATCCATGCCCTGGTATAGGGAAAACACTAAACATATTAAATACATAAACCATAATGCAATGACTAGAGATCCATCTCATGACAGGTAATTAGAAGAGGCCAGGCATGGTGGCTCACACTATAATCCCAGCACTTTGGGAGGCCAAGGAAGGACGATTGCATGAGGCCAGGGGTTCACGACCAGCCTGGTCAACGGAATGAGACTCCACCTCTATAAAAAATTTAAATATTATCCAGGTTTGGTGGTACCCACCTGTAGTCTCAGCTACTTGGGAGGCTGAGAGGTAGGATAACTTGAGCCCAGGAGTTCAAAGCTGCAGTTCTACCTTTAGTAAATGTATCCTAAGGTGACAGACAAGTATGCAAACACGTATATGAAGATATTAACTTTAGGGTTGTTTAGAATGGTGAAAAATTAGAAATAACCAGCATGGCCATCAAGTACTGGTTAAATGTGTAGTGGCATATCTATACAAGATAACATGTAGTCATCAAAAATGTCCATGTAGGCCTGTACAAAATTGTGCACAACATGTTGAGGGGGGAAAAGCAATTCACAAAATCAAATGATTCCAATTTTATAAAAGAATATGTGGAAGACTGCTCACTAAAATATTAGATAAGGGTGACTGGTTTTTTTTT